CCTCAGCCTGCTGGTTCTGGTCGGTTTCTCAGCCTGCTGGTTCTGATCCGTTCCTCAGCCTGCTGGTTCTGGTCGGTTCCTCAGCCTGCTGGTTCCGATCCGTTCCTCAGCCTGCTGGTTCCGATCCGTTCCTCAGCCTGCTGGTTCCGATCCGTTCCTCAGCCTGCTGGTTCTGGTCCGTTCCTCAGCCTGCTGGTTCTGGAAGAGGTGGATCTCTGTCCTCTTTCTCCTGGAAACTCTCAGCTTTGCTCGTTTCTTTGTTTTCTACGGTTGAATCACTATTTTTGATGGAAAATATTTTAATGCTTTTAGATCAAAGTTTACTTTTTTAAATATTTGTAAAATACTAACATGTTTAGTTTAGTTTTGGTTTGATCAGTTTTCCCCTTTTAGTAGAAACGGACTGAAAGCGGTTCTGTTCAGAAGTGTCCTTCTCGGCCTCCTGGTTTCTCAGTTAACCTTCCGGAACCGGTCGACCCGATCGGCTCACTGGGTCCTGGTTCTGTAGCAGGAACGGAGCAGCCCGCTGTGACCCGATGGGGTCTGGAAGGATAACGACTGTAAATAGATGTTTGATTCTTTCTTCTTCTTCGTCCTCCAGATGATGTAAAGCAGAGCGGCGTGTTTGCGGCAGTATGAAACTCTTTCCATTAGTGAGGCTGAGCAGGAAGACGTTTCCTCTGACCTTAAAGGATCAGACTGAGCTGATCTTCTGCTGCAGATCAGAGAACCAGCAGCGTGTAGAGATGTAGAGCCAGCTTCAGTCATGGTAGAGCCGATGTGCCCACAGGTCTGCAGCCCCCTGCTTCCTCTGGAGTCCTTCCTTCCCTTCCTTGTTTCCTCTGTGACCTTCCATACCTCCTTGTTTCATTCGTGATCTTCCATGCTTCCTGAGTGTCTTTGTGACCTTCCTTCCCTCCCAGGTTCCTCCGTGTCCTTCCATACCTCCTTGTTTCATTTGTGATCTTCCATGCTTCCTGAGTGTCTTTGTGACCTTCCTTCCCTCCCAGCTTCCTCCGTGTCCTTCCATACCTCCTTGTTTCATTTGTGATCTTCCATGCTTCCTGAGTGTCTTTGTGACCTTCCTTCCCTCCCAGCTTCCTCCGTGTCCT